TCCAATAAATACTGAACTCTCTTTGCGTTTAATTTTCCATACTCTTTTATACCCCAAACCGGCAGAGGGAAGAAGGCAAAAGACAGCTTTAACATGATACAAAGGACAACTAGAACAATGACTTGCTTCAATACTTGAAGCATCTCAAGTATCAGCATTCTGTTGTTTAAGCAGTGAACCCATGCTAGACCAAGTATCCTGAAAACAGCCATTCCCAAGGTCAAACCTCCTATTTCAAAAGAAGGAGCATAAGTATGCTTGAATTTCCTGACCATTGGTCAGGGTGGAGTGAATCTCCACCTAATTCACTGGGCCATCTGAATGTAAAAAAGATCAAGTAACAACACCGTATGTCAGGGTATGTAGCCATACTTGTTTCCAGAAACTTTGAACAAGCTAAAGCTCTCTGGCCTTCAGACAAAGTGGAAATAGGCTCACATTTTTGGGCCTCCACAATAGGCATCATAGTTGTCTAAGACTGTTTGTTGACTCCCTCCTTTGGAAGCTTCTATGGTGCTTCTGGCATCATGAAAATTATTCCTCAGGAATCAATTTAATTATTTTTTATTTTTTTATGAGAAAGTAATTTTATTAAATTATAAAAGTTTCCATTTCTGCTCCTCCTCCCACCACCCTCCCACTCCCCCCACTCCCTCTCCTCCTCCCTCTCCATCCCTGCTGTGGGAGTTCCTTCAGCTCCTTCAGCCAATCGCCGCTGAGTTACCAGCCCATTGGGGCGTGGTCTCTCCCTTTAAAAAAAGCAGCGGCTGTCCTCCACTCTCTCTTTGTCTTCCGGCTCCATTTCCGGCCCCTGGACTCCTTTCCTGTTCGCGCGGAGGGGCTGTTGTCTGGGACGGTAATCTGTAAGTTTTTTCCCCTTTGAATAAATAACCATTATATTAATCATAATTCCAAACTGGTGTGGGATTGTCTGTGACTTACGCCTTCACATCCCTAAGAGCAGTCAGGGTTTCCTGCCCTGTGGGAAGTTCAAGTTCCTCCCCCCTCCCTCCAGGTCCAGGAAGGTGAGTATCCAAACAGACTGGATCCCCAAAATCCAGTATATGCAGAGGAAACAAGTCCCAGTGTCATTGTCAATGGCTTTTCAGAAAGACTCGGGGCCAGCCACATTCAGAGAATCCGGCCACATTCAGAGGATCTGGTTGGATCACGTCCTTGTTCAGTCCCAGTCCAACTGGCCTTGGTAAACTCTCATTAGATCAGTCCCCTTGTATCAGTGGGTGATCGCATCCCTCGCAGTCCTGATTTACTTTTTCATTTTCTTCCTCCTTCTGCTCCTCATTGGGACCTTGGGGGGCTCAGTCCGGTGCTCCAATGTGGGGTCTCCGTCTGTATCGCCATCCATCGTCGGATGAAGGTTCCCTCTGGTCTTGCCTTCTTTGCTCACGTTCTCTTTCCTTCTGCTTCTCGTTTGGACCTAGGGAGTTAAGTCCAGTGTTCCAATGTGTGTCTCTGTCTCTATCTCCATCCATCGCCAGATGAAGGATCTATGGTGATAAGCAAAATATTCATCAGTATGGTTATGGGCCAAAGCCGGTTCAGGCACCCTCTCCTCTGTCCAGAGAACAATCTGGGGATCTCTCCTTGGACCTGGGATCCCATATATAATCAAGTCTCCTGTAAACCCTAAAATGACTCCCTTAGTTGAAATATATTCTTCCCTGATCCCATATTCATCCTTCCTCCCTCCCCCCCATCCCAGTCCACCGAGCTTTCCCCATTCCTCCCCTAGTCCCTTTTCTCAAACCCTCTCCCATTCCAACAACCCTCCCACCCACCCCCCCCATGCACCCGAGGTTACCTGGGACTCTTGTCTATTTCCTATCTCCTGGCGGATAGCTAAATAATCTTCATCAGGTTCACCTTCTTATTTAGCTTCTCTAGGATCACGAATAATAGGCTCAAAGACCTTTAATTATGGTTAGAATCCACTTATGAGTGAATACATACCGTGTTCTTCTTTTTGGGTCTGGGTTACCTCACTCAGTAAAGCGTTTTCTATTTCCATCCATTTGCATGCAAAATTCAAGATGTCTTTGAGATATCATCTTACACCTGTCAGAATAGCCAAACTCAAAAACACCAATGATAACCTATGCTGGAGAGGATGTGGAATGAGGGGAACACTCATCCATTGTTGGTGGGAATGCAAACTTGTGCAGCCACTGTGGAAATCAGTGTGGCGGTTTCTCAGGAAACTGGGAGTCAACCTCCCTCAGGACCCAGCAATTCCACTCTTGGTAATATACCCAATAGATTCCCTAGCATACTACAAAATCATTTGTTCAACTATGTTCATAGCTGCACTATTTGTAATAGCCAGAACCTGGAAACAACCTAGGTGCCCCTCAATAGAAGAATGGTTAAAAAAGGTGTGGAACATATACACATTAGAGTTTTACTCAGCGGTCAATTTAATTATTTTGAGACAAGGTCTCTATTTATAGCCATCTGAGATTCAATATGTAGATCTGGCTGGCCTTGAACTCGAGTTCCCTTTGCTCATGCCTCCTGAGTTCTGGTTAAACGGCTTGCTTGACCTTGCCAAACTTTACATAACTTGTCTTTATCAGGTTTTTCTCTTTTGTGGTTTTTGGAACCATGGCTCTGCTGTGTTATCTTTGCTGACCTGGAACTCATTCTGTAGACCAGGCTTGTCTTAAACTCACATAGATCTATGTGTCTGTGCCTCTGCCTCCTGAGTGCTGGGATTAAAAGGTGTCACTATGACCTGTCCTGTTACCATGTCTTGACAATTACCCAAGGTAACTGCACAGTCTACTTGACAGAAGTGTGTGATCAACTGGATCTCTTGTTTATTGAATTTAAAGACTTCTGTTACACTAAATTGGAAACTCTAATTGAAATAAAAAACTTTAACATATCAAATTTAAACAACGTGAAATAAGGTAAACATAACTATAAGAAATAATGAAAATAAAGCAGTTATAAAGTGCCACCTTTAAACAACCCTGTGCCTAGACTGACAGGATTCTATCAGAACTGCAAAGAAAAACTAACAGCAAAGCTGCTACTCAAAATACTTCTTGACACAAGATAGGAAAAGTTCTTGACTCTAAATACTAGGTGATGCTAAACCAGATAATGAACTGAGCATCATAGTACCTGCTGTATTGTAGAGGTGGGTGGATCTCAGTGAGTTCCAGGCCAGCCTTGACCTCAAAGTGAGTTCCAGACAAGCCAGGGCTGTTACACAGTGAAACTCTATCTTGAGAAAAAAACGATGAATAAATAGATAGATAAATTAATACGTAAAACCACCAGTAAATGATACCACCAAAAAGAAACTACAGATTGATACATCCATTTTTTAAAAATTCTGATCACCAGGCAGTGGCGGCACACACTAATCCCAGCACTCGGGGTGAGGGGGCAGAGGCAAGCAGATCTCTGTGAGTTCCAGGCCAGCCTGGTCTACAAGAGCTAGTTCTAGGAAGGCTCCAAAGCTAGAGAGAAACTTGTTTCGAAAAAACAACAACAACAAAACCAAACTACCAACTGATCTTTAAAACCAGTACTCCTGATGAAGAGGTTGGCTGATCTCTGGGACTTCAAGGCCAACGAAGTTTACAAAAAAAAAAAAAAAGGAAAGAAAGAAAAAAGAAAGAAAGAAAGAAAGAAAGAAAGAAAGAAAGAAAGAAAGAAAGAAAGATAGAAAACGAGAAAAGAGAAAGAAGCAAGCTACTTCCAGTACTGCCAGGGTTACACAGAGAAACTCTGCTGAAAAAAAAATTCTATTATTAGCTTTTTTTATACTCACACACCGATGTATGTATATGCTCACATTCTGCATTTGTTTGTGTTTGTGCGTGTACACCTCAAACACTGCCCATTCTCACTCCTACCTCTGCACTATCCTGGTCTGCAATTCCAACGAATTTCCCTATTATGTTTCTCTCTATTCATTTTGTATGGGACCAACTGTGATTAACCAGGGACTTCTGTGAGACTGTGGACTGTGGGTTTGGAAATGTGTTGGAGTCTGGTGGGTTCAACAGAGGACTACAGACAACTAAAGGCAGTGAGTCTTTTCCTACAATCCACACAGAGCCAACATTTGATAGGTAAAGAGTTGGTCCTGTGAGCCTTTCCCTTTCCTAGACTGATTGTGGTCTAGTGTGAGGTCAATGCAGGTAAGTACAGTTGCTGTTGGTTACTGATTACAACAGCTGTATGGAGTCTAGAGAATGGCATGTCTTAGCCCTTCCTCCTCTTTCCCTGATAATTCCCTTTCAACTCCTCTTCCTCAGTGTTCCCAGAGCCACTGACTTTTGTAGGGCTGGCACCAAATACCTTCCTTTTATTATGCATCAGAGACCGCAATATTCTCTGAATTCACCATTGCATTTTTGAATAAATATAAAACTTCTATATTTTATCTAAAAAGCACTTTTCGTGTCACAGAAGCTTAACGTATTTCTGAGTTACCAAAATCACAAAACCATTATCTAGTGGTGAGAGCAGTACAGCTCAGAATGAGCTCAGTCTCGGAGGCTGGGAGACAAGCCGAGGTTAGGCTGCCTGTTTTTTTAACTGAAGGTTTCAGAACTCACTATGGGGGTCAGGTACCGGAGTGCAACGTCTTCCTAGATCCAGTTCTGGCAGGAAGCATGGGAGCATGTGGGGAGGCTGTGCAGATCGGGTTCAGGGCAGCCTGACAGCTGGAGCTGTGTGGAAGGCAGCCAGAGACGGAGTGGGTGGGACGGTTCAATGGGGCGGAGACACTCTAGCACAAACAGCAGTTGGGAGGGTGCTAGAGATTATTTAGGTGAGTGTAGGTGGAATGATGGACAAGTGGGAGGAGTTAGAGGAGTGACATAAACAGTATCTGGGAAACTAGTGAGGGAGAGGACCCGGAAGTGGACTGAGGAGTCAAAGCCGGAAGTGCCTAGTGCTGCTTCCCTGCTGGTGCTCTGGGCCTTGCACTGTGGGAAGCTGCGTGGTCCGGAACTGGGTGAGGGAGACCCTGGCAGGTATTTCAGGATCTGAAATCTCCGGAGCCTCAGTTGCAGCACAAGGCGGCCTGGGACAGCAGCGCGGCGACCCTGGAATCTCTCAGGAGGTTCAGAGGAGCCGCGGGGCTGGGACCCAGGAGCGAAGGGACCAGGGGTGCAAGCAGTTTCTCTGCTGCTCATAAGACTCTGAAAGTCGGCTGTGGATGTCTTACCGTCGTCGGTAAATTTTAGGTCACATAAACTCGAACGATCCTGATTTTTTTCATTGATCTGACTACCAAAATAATCTCATAAAAATGACCTACTAGAATATTTGAATTTATGTGTTTTGTTTGCAAAGACGGTTGGTTCTCTTTGTGTGTTGGAAAGAAAAAAAAAACTCTTCAAATTTACATTCCTCCACGCCAACTTTCTTGCTAAATCTCTTAGCTATTAAAGAGAATGGGACATAGAACTAGGGATTTTGACTCCCAGAAACCTTTTATATATTTGTTATGAAATGAACGTCAGGATAAGTAATTTAATCAGAAATTATATTATTTTGCGAGTTCCATGAATATGGTTGAAAACATTAACATTTAAAAGAAAACATTTTGTCCATTATTAAATTTTCGTCTGACACTTTGTCATGTAAATAGATTGTTTTTAAAAGAATCTTTGAAAGATTTGGTGACATACACCATAAATCCCACCGCTGGGGAGGCAGAGGCAGGTGGTTCTCAGTGAGTTTGAGGCCAGCCTAGTCTACCTAATGAGTTCTAGGACAGCCAGAGTATCATGATGAGACCCTGTCTCAAAAAAGGAAATGTGTATTTTTCTACTGAGTTCTTAATGTGCAACTTATAGCCAGGAAAGGACAGAATGCTATTTTATGTTATTAGATCACAGTATTTCCACAGCTAGAAAAGGTGTTATACGCCACGTGGTAGTGGTGGTGTTGGCACAACCATTTAATCCCAGCATTTGGGAGACAGGCAGATGGAGCTGAGAATTTCTTCCTACTCTGGTCCACTGAGGAAGTTTAAGGACAGCCGAATCTACAGAGATTAAACCTGTATCAGGAGGGAAAAAAGAAAAAGCAATGAAAAAATATTATAGTATAACATAATAAAGAAAGCATCTTTCAAATAATTACAATAACTCATCTATATCAGAAAAAAATGTCTAGAGAAATCTTATGTCTTCCTGGTCAAAGAAAAACACTCTGTCCATGGGCTCAAAATCAAGCTGGTTGTTTTTGGGGTTTGTTTTGTTTTGTTTTGTTTTGTTTTGTTTTTATTACTCCTGTGTTTGCTGTGTTTGAGTCCTGAATTCATGGGTTGCTCTGTCTGGCACAAACTCACCAAGTAGACCAAGATGGCCTGGAAAACACAAGAGTTCCACCCTCCTCTATCTCCCTAGTGCTAAGATTAAAGTTGTTCACTGAAACAACTGTTCAAACTGTTGTTTTTTTTTTTTTTATTTTGTCGTCTAGTAGACAGCCAGTGGTGTGACTGTGAACTTCTCCCTGGAGGAGAGGCAGTGCCTGGACCCTGCTCTGGGGGCTTTGTGCAGAGACTGGATGTTGCAGAATTGTAGTAGTCTGATTTCTGTGGGCGAGAATTGTTTGCATGTAGTCTCCCTTGCTCCTCCTCAGAGTGCTCTCCCTCAGAGTGCCTTTCTCTTACTCTGAAAGCATGTGTGCCTTTGAGAGGTGTGAGACTTCTATCATATTGGGTCTATGATAAACTCAGGATGTCACTAGTGTGTGATAGTCTCATCCCAATCTTTCAGTTTCATTTCTGCAGCTGAGATTTGACTGTCCTGTGACTGGAAGTGGATTCAAGTCACACTAAATGAAAATGATTCCTAAATGTTTTCAGTATTCTGACCATGCCTGACAATTGGGGAAACACTTCTAGATTCCTCTCTTCATCTACTGAGCACAGTACTATGTTAGAAATCCAGGTGCTTCCTGAGGAATCTCTTTCTCATGTGCAGGGTTAACTGATCACCCAAACTTGCTCACCTGTTAAGAACAAAGAGGCCAGGAAGGTGAAGAGTGATGAGACAGTATTTCAGGATCGAGGTGTTTGGAGGGATTGGTGAAGGGGTGCCTGTTAGTATTCAGATGTACTGGCCTGTACTTGATGTCCTGACAAGATAGGTCCACAGCTGCAGCCACTAAGAACACCTCCTATGCCCATGCACTATGTTCCCTTTTACTATCACTTTCTCTTTTTCCTCTCTCTTTCTCTCTGCCCCTCTATTTTCTCTCTCTCTCTCTTTCTCTCTGTCTCTCTTCCTCTCTCGTTCTTTCTCTTCCTCCACTCTAATCCCCAGGGACCAGTCTCTGCCCCCTTCTCTTTCCCCTTCTCTGCCCCTTGTCTCACTTCTTCCAGTAAACCTCCTATGTGAGCACCATTGTATGGTGTTCCTCCTTCCCACTGATTTTTAAATCTATTGTAATTACTGCAAGGGACTCAAGTGAATGTGTGAGTGGGACATGAGATCAGTGTGCCACATTCTGTGTCACTAGAAATGATTCTGGAGACGTCCACTGAGAAGGATCTCAGGATCGTCCTATTATAGGTACAGGAACTGGTTCTACAGAAGAATTGAAAATGGAGTCAGGTAAAATTTTATTTGAGTGTGCATGTGAGTGATGCTGTCCTTTTCATTGACATCACTAGTCATGTCTTCATAACAGTTCTAATTCTTTTACTTTGTAATTAACTGCACTTACCTCTCCATCAATTTTAAGGTAGAATTTTTATCTAAAACAATATGGTTGACAGTGATTTTTCTCCGCAAGCTTCAGATGTTCTTCCCTGCTCTCCTGAATTGGGAATCATTGACAAAACACCTTGTCATATAGTGTTTCTTGGGTTGTTTCAAGTGGTTTGTCATTTTTCTTTAACTGCTTTCAGTATTAACTTTTCTTTTTTCCTCCTTATATAAAAGGTCAACAAGCCATCTATTCTTTGTTCCTGAAAGAGAAACTCAAAAAAGAGAAACAAAAAGAAATGGCTGATTCTCCAGTAAACAGGCCCCAGGTCAGTGCTCATATCCCCCTCCCTTTTTATAGAAATGTTGTTTCAGACATTGGAAGCCTTTAAATTGTGCTTCTGGTTATATTTTTTAACATTATTATGAAAAATGTTGCTGACAAAGAAGCAGACAATTACACACTGAAATTAATCAGACCCAAAGAGTATGCAACTCAATGTACTGTTATGCAGTTAGAGTAGTCATTGGGATCAGAACCTCTGCAGCCTCACAAGGGATTTTGTATTTACATTATAGAATATATTTATGTGAACTTGTGAATGAAAGATGAGAATCTAATTTCATTCACCTACTTGGATCCACTTTTGCCTACACTATTTGGTGAAAAGGACATATTATTCTAATTTATCTTTTTGTCTCCATTATTAAATATTTAGTGGGCATGGCTTTACAGTATTCTTTCTGGATCCTCTATAGTATTCTGTTATGACTACACCTGTACACTGTAACTCAGTATGTCTACATCTCCTGTAGCACTTCTCTCAATTTTACTCTCCCCCAATTATTTGAGGATAAATATTACACATGAATTTTGATCTTTAATTTTGAAAATATATCCATTCTAACACATGAACAAAATATGTGTTGAAGCCCAATTGCCACAGAGCATTGAACTTTATCTTTATATATTAGTGTGTAGGACTCCCGTGGCATGTAGGCTCCATTGGTGAGGTCTGTTGCATTTCCTTGAATCATGGTTATGAAAAGCACGTATTGAATCACAAAGAAAAGCTGTCACATCTTAGCAATGTGTGGAATTAAAAGAGACATATCTTGATTTTTAATGCAGTGTAAAACTTGGATCTTACTACTAAAAATGTAAGCACACTAGACAGTATAGAACATGGATTGATGTTGCCATGAAACTGATATTCTTGAGCATAGATTCAGATTGTACTCTACCTGTATTTCTCTTTGGTGTTTAATATCACAACAGTGATGACATGCCCATGTGTTTGTTGACACCTGATAACTGTTTGTCTCAGGAGAATTACTGATCACATCACCTACTTGATTAGGATGTTCAGGGGTAACTTCCCAAACTTGAGAGATCAGTATATTTTATTCTCTAACCTCCCCCACCACCACCACCACACACATACACACACACACACACACACACACACACACACACACACACAAATACAGCCTTTTTGGTTGGGAGTCATTATGTAGCATTATGTGGAATTCATCAGGAATTGAGGGCACTGACTAATTGATGTGCATAATCCATCATATTTGATGCAGAACATTTCCCCGTGCTTGTCTTGCTCTAGTCCGTTCCTGTGAGAGTCATGGCTCTACTCCCCTACCTTGAAGTTGCAGTGTTTTAACATAGAGATTTAGGAAATGAGCTCTGGTTTGTATTTCTATTCCTCATTCATGACTCTGACAGGTTATGTTAACACTTTCCATTTTCACAGAAATAAAGGAAGAATCATGAACACTACTAACCTAAAGTATGATAGGCAATACAGCATAAGTACTAAAAGGGAACATGCTGCTAACCACAAAATTCAGATACAGTAGCTAAAGTTTTCTCCTGAGCCATTCTTTGAGTTCTGTTATATTTGCACAGTACTGAACAGTGACTGTAATTCTCAAAGAATTTAATATATTCATTTTCACCGGAAATCTATGTCACTTCTGAATGTATCCACAGTTACTATACTTAACGTGTCCATGCTTAGCTGCTACTCAGAAACTATTTTGGACTTACCCCAATTTTTATAACTCTTTGGGGGTGAAATAGTCCCCAGAACTTCTAAAATTATTTGTTTAAGTTGCCTTATGCCTATCCTTGAGTAAAATTTTAGATTATATCAAATATGGCTGCTGTAGGTTTTTCTATCAGTTTGCCGGTAACTCAGATATTTTTATAAAAGTAATCCCACAGACTACTTCATCTCATGTTGTAATGTTAAAATTGACAGTATACATTGCTGTTACACTCATTGTTACTGCGGGCGAAAAACAGCTCTTTACCTATAGATTCGATTGTGAATTCTGTCTTCCATATTCGTTCCTTTTCTCTTGGATGGAATGGAGTTGATGGAGTGGAATTTAAACATGCAAACTGAGCATGTTAGGATACGATCATGTGAGGCTGAAAAATGCACAGGATTGATTCACTGTCAGTACTTTAGCATGATCTATAGGTACAGCAGTTAAAACATATTTCCTCATCACTATTTTCCTTCTGAGACATATATACTGTGAGACTATGGGTCATAAACACCACATCCATACCAGGTAGACAGCTGTGTCCAGACTTTATATATGTGTCTCTTTTCATGGATGTGCTTGTGAAACTACTTCATCATCTTGATTTCAAGGACTTGGAACATTCATTATAATGCGTGACTATATCAGAAATCATCGCTTTGAGTAATTGTATTCACTTATCTACATCCCTAATTTCCTCAAGTCTCCTTATCTCAAGGAAAACCTCTTTCTGGAATCACCTGGTCAAACTGTACTTTGTGTTTCAGGGTCCATTGACATTCAGGGATGTGACTGTGGACTTCTCCCAGGAAGAGTGGGAATGCCTAGACTCTGCTCAGAGGGCTTTGTACATTGATGTGATGTTGGAGAATTACAGTAGCCTGCTCTTTGTGGGTGAGAGCATTTTTATTGTAGAATTCCTAAATCATTCTTTGTATATACTGACTTGTAAACTCTGTTAAGCTGTCCTAGAAACAGTGGAAGGCAGGAAAGTTTGGTACTAGAAATAACTTTTTCATGGAATTTGACTCTCATTTCATTTCCATGTTAAAGGTACCATGCAAACCTTACTGTGTTTCCAAAATAAATTCCATATATATTTCTATATATATCTTAAAACTCCAAGTCCATCATTGTAACTTTCATGGTTTTGTGAGAAAAAGCTCAGGATAGGCGATCTGAAATTTTTCCTTAAATATGCTAAAAGATTCTGGCAAGAAATAGCAATTAGAAATCATTCCTAGTTTCTTCTACTTTGTGTTCTCTTGATGTACTGAGCACAGTGTTTTGTTTGATGTCTCTATTTTTTCTAAAAATTCTAGCATGGGTCATTGGCTACCTCACAGAACATGTGGATTATTGTATGCAAGATAGGCCTGGTCACCTGTCCTGAGCAAATGAGATAGCCCTGGAATGTGGAGAGGAGAGAGTAGTCAAAACCAGGGTGAGCTCGTGAATAAGCAGGACAACAGTAATGGCTTCCAGTGAAAAAGAAAGCAATTGCTGGGAATGCTTTTGCTATATTCGATTCCATTTGAAAGAATGCCTCATCATTGAACTTAGTGGAATATTCTGGTCCCAGGATGCATCCTGCCTGTTGTAACTGTTACAAGGTATTGTGCCTTATTGCACCTGATTTATGGTGACTTAATACCAGTACAAAATGTAATTTTTTGTTTTGTTTTGGTTTTGGTTTGTTTTGATTTTTGTATTTCGAGACAGGGTTTCTCTGTAGCTTTGGTGCCTATCCTAGAACTACCTCTTGTAAATCGGCTAGCCTCCAACTCACAGAGATCCGCCTACCTCTGCCTCCCAAGTGCTGGGGTAAAGGCGTGCGCCGTTACCACTGGGCACAAAATGCATTTTATTTAACTATGCTGATATCAGATTGGAATAATTTTACAAATTATAAGCCTAATGTGAATCCATGAATTAGTATTATTCTGAAATTGCCTTCCTTGCATGTCTATCTTCATATTACATATTTTGTCCAGCGGAGAATACACAGACATCCTTCTCAGAAGTCGGTGTGCTGAATAGACTTGGAAATAAGCACATGAAGAAAGTTAGGAAACACAGTAGTATGTGAAGCTAACACCGGGAAAGATAGAAATAAGCAATAGCTGCCCGTTTCAAACCTGCCTCAAATGATCTGAGCCTCTGCTGTCTGGCAGAATACTAGCTTTCCATTCATTTATTTGAAAGAATTATGTTTTTCTAGAGAGAAAAACCATTTGGTATTTTTAAGTAAGACTTTAATATTTAAAGGAATTGGCCCTTCTTTACAGTATTCTTCAGGAATCTTCTGACATGAAATATTTAAAAATAGAGACATGTATTCTTAATATAATCAGTCAATGAGCTCCATCCCACAGCTAATTGCTAATGCCTCACTTTCCTGATCCATCTTCTGCCATTAGACATTTTTGATAAGGATGAGGTATCTGCTATATCTCAGACCCTTGGAGCCTCTCTGTCTGTTTTTGTGAGAATACATTCAATTATGGTGGAAGATAAATGTCTAATTAGTTTCTGATTCACTTATCTTTAGAAAAAACTTAGGAAGACAGCCATTTATCACATGTTTAGTGTTGGATCAAGCCCTATTAATCTGAATTGTATTCATTTTCAGAAAACTATTGCATATGTGATCCTGTCTATCAACATGTGAAGACTGAAAAGGAGTCTTCTCGGTGTAATGACCTTGGAAAAATGCTTCATGACCCCTCCTCATGTGCACTTTATAGAACAAGTGAAACTACAGAAAGCTCTAATAACTACAGATGCAATAATCACGGGGATGTCTCTGTTGACTCATTAAACCCAGATAGACATGACAGCATGCACATTGGAGAAGAACCTTGCAAATCTAAAGTCTGTGAGAAATCCTTAAATTTGTATCCCAACATTACTCAATATCAGAGACTCTATGTTGCAAGATCAGAACACAGGCAGGGAGAATATGATGACTATTTCACCTCTGCTTGCAGTCTCTTGCAACAAAAATTCTCCACTGGAGAGACACCACACCAGTCTAGGAAATGTGTGAAATACTTCACTGCTGCCTCAAGCCTCACTGTACATCAGAGAATACAAACTGGAGAGAAGCCTTACAGATGTGAAGAATGTGACAAATATTTTACCCGACTTTCAACTCTTAGAGCACATCAGAAAATTCATACTGGAGAGAAACTTTACAAATGTAGGGAATGTGAGAAATCCTTTACCCATAACTCATATCTTAGAACACATCAGAGAGTCCACACTGGAGAAAGACCTTACACTTGTAAGGAGTGTGGCAAATGTTTTACTACATGCTCAGACCTCAGAAAACATCAGAAAATTCATACTGGAGAGAAAATTCACAAATGCAAACACTGTGACATGTCCTTTCTCCGTATTTCTACTCTAAGAAGACATCAGAGTGTTCATACTGGAGAGAGACCTTACAAATGTCTGGAATGTAACAAATCCTTTATCGACATGTCACATCTTAGAACACATCAGAGAATTCATACTGGAGAGAGACCATACAGTTGTAAGGAATGTGACAAATCTTTTACTAGGTACTCCCACCTCAAAGCCCATCAGAACATTCATACTAGAGAGAAACAACAAATACAATGACTAGCATATCCTATATCTATCTTTCAAATCTTAAAGCACATCAGAGAGTTTACATTGGAGAGAAAAATACCATTCTCATAATGTGACATAGCATTTTATAGGTGTTCTCTGCCTATAAAACCTAACAGCATATATAATGTGTTACGGGATAATTTTTTGTATACTGTGAAGATGTGTCTGCCAAAGTTCCTTCTGATTAGTTTGATAAAGAGCTGAATAGCCAATGGCTAGGTGTGAGAAAATGGGCAGAACTTCTCAGGAAAGAAAGGAACTTGGGATGAATCTGGTGTGGCAGCAGATGCCAAAAAGACATGGGAGGCATCAGATGTACAAAATGGAAGAGAGATAAAGAGTCAGTTGACAAAATGTAGGTTAATAGAAACCTGTTACTTAAATTATAAGAGCTAGTTGGGAACAAACATAAAGGTCAAGGTTTCATAATTTATTATACATCATTGTAGCATTGTTTGGGTGCTGTCAGTCCAAAGAAAGTCCAACCAAAAAGATAAACTACAATAAATAGAAACATAGAGATAAGAAACTTGTGAAAACCTGTTATGAAGTTTTAAATCTTAGGAGATATCACAGAGTTTGTATTTTAAAAAAAATTTGCAATAGTAACAATGTGAATTCCTTTTTCACATATATGGGTGCTTTGCCAGATGTGTAAAGAGTTCCTTTGCTGATCTTTCTCTGCACTACATGCTTGCCAGGTGGCAAGGAATGCAGCAGAGGGTATAAGATTACACAAGGCTGGATTTACAGATAGTTGTGATCTCTTCTATGTGTGTTAGGAATGGAATCCCAGTCCTCTGGAAGGACATCAGTGCTCTTTAAGCACTACCTTGACTCCAGCTCCTGAGACATGCAGTAAATAAGTCACTTATCTTTACTGTGTTGTGGTGCCACACGTCTTTAATCTTGGCATTCAGGAGACAGACAGGTGGATACCTGTGAGTTCAAGGCCAGCCTAGTGTACACAGCTAGTTCCACAACACCTAAGGCTGTTACATAGTGAAATCTTTTCTCAAAGAACAAAACAAAAAAAAAATGTTCTGCATTCAAGAATTCATAATAAAGACGGACTATGTGGTGCATACTTTTTTTCCCCAGCACTCAGGAGGCAGATGTAAGAAGATTTCTATGAGTCTAAGACAATCCTGGTCTACATAGTGAGATCCAGGACTGCCAGGTGTACATAAAACCTGTCTTGAAGAAAGTAAAATAAATCATAATAAGGACAAAATCTAGTAACTTTAAAAAAATACAAATGGAAGATGAACAACGTCATTAGAAAAGGATAAATCAGAATGGCAATGGGATATCACCTACTCAATAGAAGGGCAATCATATTAGTAAATATAAAATAGCAAATATTAGTGATAATGCCAAGGGACTAGAATCCTTAAACCTGCAAAATAAAAGTGTTATGATAAGAAAGATTGAAAGTCTCTTAGAAAATAAAATTTCAAATTGCCATATGACCTAGCATTCTACTACTAAGAATGCTTCCAAGTATTCAAAAAACAATGGGTGTGTTAATATACATAGCAGAATTATAACTATCCAAAGAGGAAAAAGAAATGAAATCTTAATATATGTAATAAAATCAATAAAACTTGAAGACATGCTGAGTGAAAATTCAGAAACAATACATCATGTATTCTATTCTCTTTTATATAAAATATTTATAATAAGTGGGGTTGGAAAATAAGTTAGTACTTGGCAGAGCCTGGGAACAGAGACAAAGGAAAATAACTGTTGATTGGGTGTAGGGTTTTCATTGCAAGAATGAATGCAATGAAATGAGGTAGTAATGCATGACATAAATGGAATAAATGCCGCTGATTTTTTTCAAAAAATGTGGCAAAGACCTCTAATTGTCCAGTATACCATAAATTTCTTAATTCTGAGAAAACATGTAAAGAGATACCATATATAATCCCTATATCTTCTGTTCATTGGAAATTACACACACCAAATAAATTGAATTTGATAAATCCTTTACCTAGTGCTGAAATTGCCAACATCAATGCAACTTCAGCTTGAAAGACAATGTTCTAATTCAGTCTTCATCTTTTGTTCACTTTCAATAATCTTTACACTAAGCTGAAACCTTACAAATAGCAAGAAAGTGAGAAACTGTAAAGAGATAGGCTCTGACTGTGACATCATAGGCTTATCAAAAACAGCTTAGAAATCTCCAAGACTCTGGGCTTGGTGGTGTATCACTTTCATCTCAGCACTGTGGAGTCAGAAGCAGGTGGATCTCTTGAATTCAGCCTGGTCCACAGTGCAATTCCCAACAGGGTGAGGACTATACAGAGAAATTCCATCTCAAAAAGCAAAGCAATAAAAAAAGAAGAAGAAGAAGAAAGAAAGAAATCCCTCAGGGCATGAATTTTGAACTACTGAAGAAAAGTATTTGCTGAACACAAAATAATAAAATGACATAGCTTTCATTTACTGTCAATAGACCTCCATGGAGGTAAAAGAGGCTTGTGGTACCATCCTTCAGTCGCGATGAAATTTTTATTGCCCTAATCTTACACAGTTACTTGTTCTTAATACTTCTTGAACAGTTATGAGTCTCTGCATTACCAAGTACATACTGCAAGAGGAGACTTCTTTCATCAAAGTTGCGAGTAGAAAAAATGATAATTATAGATATGAATATTTAGATGGCAGATTGACAATATCAACATTAATAAAACATAAATAGTTTCTGTCTTTGGACTTATACTTCGAAGTCTTGGTTTGTGAAAGGCATGAATTTATCTCTATGGAGCATGACTTAAATCTAGTGAGAGAGAGGTGGGTTATGCCAATTTACAGTTGTGCCAGTATTGCACCAGTATACACATTTTGCCCAATAGCTTGGTATTGTATGATGTACAGTCCATGGGTAAGAATATTAACTTATTTTCTTTGCCATCAGCCCTCACATGACCTTACAGTTCTATGAAAGGGAGCCAGTTTGGAGAAATTTCTGATAAGTTCAAGTTGCTCTTTCTTGATCATGAAGCCAAAGTGTTCAGTGTTTACAGCAACACCATGTACTTCGGGTGACAAAGCAAGAACTGGCACCTGCTTTGTTTCGGATGTCTCTCAGGCCTCCCTGACCAGTAATTCCTAGGCAGATAAGCAGTATCTGGTACAAGGAGTTTCTTCTAATGGCCCTGGCATCTGCAAGCAGCATTATTTATAAATGTGGGACACCTCCGTTCAAAGTTTTAAAATTATATTTACTATTAACCTGTAAGACAATGGGATTTCAAGAGACTTCTTCATACATCCTTCCTTTTGGTTAACCCCCTTACTCTTCTTTACTTATTCCTGCCCCATCCCCAGTTTAACATCTAGCATACATTATCCAATGTCCCATTCATTTATAGCATAATGTTACTAAACATATGCACAAGCTTAACTCTGACTTAAACACATCTCCTAATAGTGCCACTCCCTATAGTCAAGTATTCAAAATATGAGTCTATGGTGACCATTCCTATTAAAATAATCACATCCTCCCACTCTTCCTTCTGTATTCCTGCCCCATCCCAAATTCAAGTTTTTGCACATATTATCCAATTCCCCACTATATTATATTGTTGGTTAACAGGTAAAAGTACCTTGTACTAAGTACTGATATTTTGACTTCAGGATCTGTTTTACCTGTAGGGTGGGGGAAAAAAAAAGTTCAACTGTCCAAGCCCTAAAGGAGCTAGGACTTTCCAATAGCTGACCTATCTCCTCCTTAAACCATAGAAATCATCGCTTACATATCTTTGGTTCTCTAAAATGTTGAGATTGCTTCTAACAACACAAAGAACAAATGAATCTGATAGGTTGGGCTGAAAAGCTTACATTCTGTGTCCATTGATCATGATAAAGCACATAGGGAAAACCACTAATTTCTATGTCCTTGTGGGTGTAAATTGTAACTGTGACTTGCCCAGATGTTGTGGTTTGGGGGTTTAAATACTTCCTTAATGAAAGTTCAGGAACACACTCAGCTCCAGAGTCTGTACTTTTCTACTTGACAAAAATTTTTGCTGTTCAATTCAATAAAGATCTTGCTTTACGTGAACTATTGTACCTGTTTTCATTGTTTCAGACTCTCAGACCCTAACAATAATTTGTGTTCTACTATATTCTATTATAACTGTCCTCTCATATTTTTAAAACTTGGTTTCAAAATGAAGGTTCCTATGTAGCTTCTTCATGGCAATCTCATTTGAACTGACCATTCCGCGGCCCACTCTCCTCGTCACTTCACTACTTACTTGAGCCATTCTGACCCCAGAATTGCACTCTAATTTCATATCACCTTTATTCTACTATCCATGCCATCTTCCTGCATGTCTCCACTACTGGTCCATTGATGGCTTTCTGACTTGTACATATAATCTTACATGAATGGAAAAACAAAAATTTGAAGCTAAGGCATACATTTTCATTTAACCATGTGTCAGGTGATGGAAATCTAACTTGATTCTGTTTTCTAGACGTCAATAAAGCAGCAATGAACATTATAGTGATATTTTATTTGTATTTTAATAAATAAAGCTTGCCTTAAGTTTAGAGAGCAAACCAGCCAGCCAGCCACTGACCTCTTTCCTCTATTTCAGTCCAACATGGCACTCCTCCTCCTCCAGGAATCTCAGCATAAGATTGTGAGTGAGAGCTATCTCTTCCATTTTTATTCCTTTCTACAGTTGAGAATAAAGGTGGCCACCACTATCGCCTGGTTTCTATGGCAAACTAGTGTGGCTATTGAGATTAAAGATATGTGTCACCATTGTCTGGTCTGTAAGGCTGATCAATGTGGCTGTTGTACTCTCTGAATTTCAGGTAAGCTTTATTTATTAAAACACAAATAATCTGAGTGGTGGAGGCACACACATTTAATCCCAGCACTTGGGAGGCAGAGACAAGCAGATCTCTGTGAGTTTGAGGCCAACCTGTCCTCCAAGAGTTAGATCCAGGACAGGTAGGCTGTTATACAGAAGAACCCTGTCTCAAAAACAAAACAAAACACAAAAATAATACAAATGAAATAGCACTACAAAACATGCTGGGCAAGTATTCATTGGTAAGATGGCAAGTCCTTGGAGTTCATTCCCAGAAGTGGATAATGTGTATCAGCTTCCTCTGAGATAAAAACCCTTCATTCTTGTAAGGAAGTCCTTAAAACGGGCTATTAAAAGAGAGATAAAGGAGCAGTGTGATCTAAGGCAGTATTGTTATGGCTTAAGTAAAAAATGGTGCAGGTTTTCCGAGGGGGCACAGCAACAGAAACACTGCAGGCCCTAAAGCAGCAGCAGTGGGCAGCGGGCCATGGGACCATGCCACAGGTCCCTTTGCAGTGTCAGGCAACAGGCAGTGGGTCCCGAGAGCAGCCAGTATCAGGCAGTGATGGTGCAGTTGCCCAAGAGGCTGCAGTGCACCACACAGGGCAGTTAGTCCTAGGCTGGGAACTGCAGGTCCAGCAGGTGAGAGACAGAGATGGATAGGCATGCTATGCAGAGTGAGGTTGAATATTTATTTAGTGGGTTATGGAGGGAAAATGGGAGAAGGGGAGAAGAGCAGAGAGAAACAGGGAAGGAGAGAAGGGAGAGACAGAAGCTGACTCTTCAAGAGAGAGACTGAAAGGAAAGGACTCAGGCTGAAAGCTGAAGATCAGCTTGCCTCAACAGAAAGGGGAGGGAGTGGGCATGGCTTGTCTCTTAAAGGGACAGAGCAGACCATTACAGTCCCTTCTATTTTTTATTATAAAAAGGAGGGAAGTTAGGTACCACAGATTAAAGGAATTGGGGTGGCAGATTCTCAAGACTGCTTCCTGCTTATTTGTGGGCATCGTCTTGGCAGGTGGGTGGGCACACCTGAGAAACCTGGGTGCTGGTCACATACTAGTGTAGCTGGTCTCCTTGTTCCTGTCTGGTGTTTGTGGTATGGAAATGTCTGATGTATCTTACACCTGTTTAAGGCATTGGCAAAACAGAGAACAAAGTTAAGTTTAGGGGAAAAAATAGGATCAGGGAATTGAGATGTGTGTATCTGACCTGTTTAAGGTAGATCCTTCAATTTGACTCCCTAGAACCCATAAGAATTTTTTGAGTTTGTGAAAATTTTACAGCAGCATATTTATATCAGATTGACTATGACAAATACTTTTTGCATAATGAAAAGTATCTTTAAGACTATGAAAAACAGTGTGAGAGAGAAATATGATGACTTGTATTTGTCCTCATACCTTAATAACTTGTATTTGTGTTTTACTGAATTGTTTGGTGAGGTTGTCCTTTTAAACTGATAAAACCTCTCAGCTGTCAAAATGCATCAGAAATCTTTGAGAAGGATAAAATTTTATTTGAGTTATTGATAAAAAGCAATAGAGAACCTTCTTGATTGGCATCTAGAACTACTCCTCAGGGTCCTCCATTGTTGCTGAGGGTTGTATTTGCCTTTTGCTGTTTAGCACAGGGCCTGCCAGGCTCCAGAAGATCTTGTGGGCAAAGAAAACTATAGAAAGGCAAGCCTACCTTAACCTGAGCAGCTAGGCTGTCAATTCTAGCAATTTTGCCCACTGTCTGGTGTTCTTCAGTTTAGATGAAAGGCAGTTTTGCCTAGTGATCAGTGATTGGCAGTTGAAGCATTGTTTTGTGCCCATCTGTCTTCTGTCTTTTTTTTTTTTGAGGAAATAGAGTGCAGCTGCTAGGAGCCAATCTGTTTCTTTTTGTTATGGAAAGATTTTTAATAATTAAATATTTAAATGCTATATTCCCCAGATCTCTGAGAAATTGAGGGCTTTCTACAGGGTATAGATAAGTTATAGAATCTGCCTGGAGAGCTGGATCTGAGCTTGACTGTACTGGCTCTCAACAGATAAAGCAGGGTTGGATTAAATATATAGTATTTTTGTAAAAGACTTAAAAGTACATACCAATTTAAAACATGAAACTTGTTGCTTTGATAGTCTGGAATGAGATACAATGAACAGAAAAGTATAACATTTAACAATAAACAGGTGTATTTAAGTTACATGTGCACACACGCATGCGCGCGCGCACACACACACACAGTGAACAGGAATTGGGAAAAGTGAATACTTTGGTGGGCCCTACAAAAGGCATGCCACTGCACAAAACACACATGCAACAGAGTCAGCAAGAGGAATTTAAAGACAATAACATAAGTAAACCAGGGGATTAGGCAGGGTATACTCCAGTAAAGATGGTGGGACATGGTCATCTGACCCGGCTCTCAGTTAAGATGATGGTAAGGTACCTGACCTCAAAATGGCAGCAGTCACATGTTGTATGGAAGAGAGATCTTGAGGCATGATCTGCCCTGTTGCCAAGCCACCATACCACAAGCCATGGCAGGGAGCAAAAGGCTAGAATTGAAAATAGGTGCCTTGTGGATCCAACCAATCTTGTTGACAGCAGTAGCAGTGGCAGGGACATTTGGAGGAAAAGTGGAGCCAGTAGAGCTGGCAGGGCACCTGTGGAGTAAGGGTTTATACCGTAGCTGAAACCATGAAAATGGTGACACCATAAGGCTTTTGGGGGACATCTCCCCTCTATAGGTGGCAAACACCACAGGGCTTATAGGAGAGTGTCCTCTACCTACAGGCAGGGTGTTAAAGGCTGACTGGCTCTGGTTGGGGTGACTCAGAAGCCAGACAGACCATGGCAGGGAACACTGATGAGTGGTCCACAAGAAAAGAAAAAGAAAGGAAAGGAAAGGAAAGGAAAGGAAAGGAAAGGAAAGGAAAGGAAAGGAAAGGAAAGGAAAGGAAAGGAAAGGAAAGGATAGAGGAGAAATGAAAAATTTAAGGAACCTTTGGCCCCCAGTCAAAAGCACTGCACAGCATGTGCGGTGCTAGCATGGGAGGACTGACTCTGGGTCATTTGATCATGTTTTTAGCTATGGAAAGCAGTGAAGGACTCAACCATAGCTGTGAAGGATATAGTTGGGGGCTGGAAGGCGAAAACTCACCAGTGAAGCTGCTGGTGTGCCTAGGCAGATGGAACACATGGTTGTTGTGGAAAAAAATGACCAGTTCCAGAACCAGACCCTGGGAGATGAGCAGGAGGGCCTACGGAGTATGACAGTGCCAATCTAATGATTTAAGTAAAATGCTGCAAGTCCTCGAGTGGTGGCAGTGGGCGGGGGGGGGGCATGAAACCATGTTGCAGGTCCCCGAGTGATGGCAGGCAGCAGGTAGCAGGTCCCAAGAGCATCCAGTCCCACACAGGGATGGAGCAGTTGCCCAAGTGGCTGCGGTGGGCCATGAAGGGGAGCGAGTCCCACACAGGGGGCCGCAGCCCCAGAGGGTGAGAAACAGAGAAGGATAGACAGGCCATGTAGAATGAGGTTGGATATTTATTAAGTGGGTTATGGAGGGGGAAAGAGAGGAGAGAAGAGCAGAGAGAGAGAGACAGGGGGAGGGGGAGAAGGAAGAGACAGAAGCTGCCTCTCGAGAGATGAAAAAGAAGAGAATTGGGCTGAAAACTGAAGATCAGCTTGCCTTAGCAGACAGGGGAGTGGGCATGGCTGGTCTCTTAAAGGGACAGGACAGAACATTACAAGTAAAATTCTCTCAACCATCCTAATGTTCTCTCAGATAATGTTCCTCATGTTCTGGTGACTCCAACTATAAAATTATTTTAGTTCCTACCACATAACTGTAATTTTAGTACTGTTATTAATAATAATGTAAATATCCCATATGGCAGATATCTGATATGCAACCTCAAAGGGGTCCTGACACAGAAGTTGATTTTCACTCTTGTAAAATATTTCATCCTGCAGTGAAGCTCCCAAAACTCAGAAATAAGAAACTTAATAGCTTTAAGATGTCACAGAAACTGACAAGATTCACTAGTGCTCTCCTGTCTCAACCATATATAACTGATAAGGGCTGCTGACCCTTTCAGACAAGCTGAGCTACACAGAAGATGCTCAGACTAACCATGAAGCAGACACCAGTCAAGTTGCATGGACCAGACAAGACAGGCTGCCTAGAGTGTGGAGGCCTGGAAATGTGAGCCTATTTGCACATTGACCAAAGGACAGAGAGTT